TTACGTTATGAACCCTGTACTCAGATAACTTTTATTGGTAAATGTCTGAACCGTGGTCTAGTATTAATGTTTAATGTGGACATATTGAACTGAAACATTTTCACTGAGATACAATATTAGTATTAGACTACTTTGTGACATTTATTCTAGATTATGTATAACATTCATCTAATAATCTTAATTGTATTTCAGAGCCCAAACAAGTCCTGCAGCGTTTAACCAAAACCAACGCAACTACCAAACTTACGAAGTGCCCCCAGGCGGTTACAACCAGGGCTACAATAACCATGGTAATCAAAATCAGGGCGGTTACTATCAGAACCAAGGTTATAATCAAAGTTATGGTGGTTACAACCAGTCTTATGATAACACGGGAGGGTACAACCAGGGGCATAACCAAGGTGAGAAAGATATTAGTATTAAGTTAGAAAACCAGTGTTAGGTTAAAAAACCAAGTTTCTATTAACAAAAATGAAGATTCTCAAAGAGCCATGTCTGAATCCGTAGTCTGGTGATATTAAACACATCATAACTATGAATAATCTTGTTAGTAATAGAAGAATAAAAAAATTTTTATTCTAAATTATTTCATTCCACAATGTTTTAATCTAATAACCTTTTTAGTTTAATGATCAACATAACAACTTGCTATAACATAAAAATTCAATTAAATCGCGAAAAAGAATACCAGCTTTCATGCCATGTTTGTTTGATGGTTTTTCTCGATTATGGAAGCTTGGCAAAAGTTGTTCGTATTAATGAGATGCATTTAATTATCTTATAAAATCTTGCCACCAGTATGGTTACTTTAACAGCCAAATTATTTACGTTTAAAGTCATTTATATTGAAATAGGGGCGACAGTACCTCGAAACGCTTCGTCGTACACTGTACACGCAAATCAGTATTTTGGCATTGCTTGAATTTGTCTTGCAAATCCTGTGCGTTTAGATGATAGCACAAAGTTAAATGGTTTATTTTTCAGGTTACAATAAAGGATACCAGAGCCAACAAGGGTATCAAAATCGCGGTGGAGGATACCAGAATGAACATGATGACCGTGACAGACGTGGAAGGGGGAGCTATAATAGAGGAGGGCGTCGTTAAATTCAAGGAGTTATGGTACTTGGCTGCTGTCTCAGTTTAAACAGCGTTGTCACGAAATCTAGTCATAGCGTCGTCACAATGGTGTCTAGACGCTATATTAGTCAGCGTCATAATGATCTAAATATTCAAACTAACCAAATTTGACAAAAAAACAAATTTATACCAATAAATTTAAGATCCATAAAGATTGCAAAGTGAAAAAAATCGCTGCTGAATTGAATGTGTATTTTTTATTATAGTTAGACCTTATTGTTTTGATGTTGACTGCACCGGTAGTATAGAAATTATCGATAACTACATATATACATGGTAAAATTTAACGCATTGGACATATTCTTTATTTTTGTCGAACAAATTAAATTTCACGTGTATATGAACAATCGATTGTTTCATTTTTGGCATACAGCACTCGGCCTTAAAAGGTACCATAACTCCATGAAAATAACTTAATTTATTGATTATGATTAATTATATAATATGAAAATTTAACGCTTACACATTGTATTACTATGTCGAAGCAACCTTTTGTTGCTTATTAACCTCTTTTTAGACAGAAGACTCGCGTTTGTTTAATTAATTTTAATTTCCTTTCGTTTTGTGTACTTTCTTATTTACAGGCTGGTCTATTTGACCAGATAATAGGTCTTAAATTATTGCTTCGGTCAGCTCATATGAAACTGCTGACAATGATTCTGAAATCCATTTTTAGGTGACAAGTTGCTGTCCCTTTTTTGTAAAACTATCATTAGTGTGTAGCTATAGCGCCGATTACGTTTGAGCTCTCTACATATTGTGGAATTTTTAAGAACTAATTTCCTTTATTGACAACAAGGTTAAAAATGTTAAAAGTCGTCACTGTTTCAGGGTTCAATAGTAACCTTTCTACTTATTTATTTTTAAAATTTGTATAAGTTGTTTTTTGTTTTTTTTTTTATCAATTACGAAATACGTTTGATTAGAACAGCCATCGCGAGCTGAACTCCTGTACTTACAATAATAATCTAACTAAATATATTTAACAAACTTTTATTTAAAAAAATTTGCTTTCCAAAAAAATTATGTTTCAACGCGAGCATTGCAGTAAGGGGAAGCAAAACTGTATTACGAGAATATTTTTTTTTATATAAATTATTCATCAAAGTTCAATCACCCGCTGAAATGTGGTCATACGTTTTTGTTTCACTCCGTATAAAAAATAAAGCTGTGGCAGCTTGTATGATGTTAAATACTCTACTATGTTAAACCTTGTGACACTATTATTATAATAACACTGTTGACTTTTAATGTACAATAAAGAGCACTGACTTTTAATGTACAATAAAGAGCACGCTTGACAGTTATTTAAATTCAACGCATACTGCTTTTAATAGGAACGGTCTTATTTACAAAGAAACTTGGTGTGCGCTTGATTGTACATGTACTATTACTTGATTCATACATGGATAGTAACACCGTTTACCATAAAAATTAATATAAGAATATGATATACGGGGTACCTCGTTTCGCCAACTACGGCAACGGCTTTACAGTGCGATTTCCCAAGAGCTTTTTTGTGTAGTTGCCGCCTACTGCTTTTTCATAGAAAAGTATCACGTACACGTACTGACAAAATTGAACGATTTACATACATTGAACATTTTATATTGAATCTATATAAGCACTAACAGCAAGAAGGGTACTAACATTCTTTAAGTACTGTCCTTGAATGGAGAATTAAATTATTGAACGTTTGCGCATTTCAGCGGTTACAGATAACTAAAACCTTTTATTCTTTTAATAGTATTAGGGAAATGTGTAAGCTGCATGATATTATATTTTTTAAATTTAGAATAATTTCTTATACCTATCTACGTGTTAACGTATAGTTTATTTAAACATTACAATATAAGCATTTGCATTCAATTTGTTGTTTTATTTTTAATGGGTAAATTTAAGTAAGGGGCAAATGCGACTTTTGCATTACTTATATGAGAACAACAATGTTTATATTCCTTAGCGAGGACGTAAAACCATTGTATAATGAAATAAGTAGTGCAACTCGTCTCATTAGCTAGCTTAACACAGACACTATCGCGACAGTCACTATCGTGTTGCCGCAATCGTGCGCGATTGAGCGCGCGTGTAAAAGATTGGAAGGAAAAGATCGCGTGCTTGTGTCCATCAGGATGCCTGGACCAAACGTGATATACAAATCAAACAGCCTATTATTTTCTACTATTCAGTACCTTTATTGACATATTTTATATCTTTACGCGAACGGAAATATTACAGAAATAAAGTGACCAGCCATTCTGACGTCACGTTGGCTGGACCACTTTACGTTTTTCATGGTTCTAGCATTATATAATTAACTTTTTTTATATAACTATTTAGTACCTAATTTCTACCTAAACATACTTTTTTTTTTCACTATTTCAGGAAGCGTGTATATAAAGTAATTAAAAAATAATAATAAAACGCCTTTACAAAAGATATTTTCTAAAAAGACAGTTTATCTTCTCCGTGTAATTGCTAATAATATTTTTGCAGGCGCTTACAATATGCCAACAATGGTTTATGGATTATCTTTGCAAGCAATATTTTATAACAATTATTATCTCCATTCATATTCTTCATCATGCACCAGTTTCATGCGGTCTATCCTACGCTATAAGCCTTTACAAGGAAGCAACACTCGCTCTTCCGTTATAATGAAAACAAACACGAGCAGTCACGCGCGAAAGAACGTTTCAAACAGGTAATTGCGCACGATTGCGCATGCAGGCTTTCCCGCGGTAAATTGTATATGCTCCCGATCACGCGTAATAGAGTGACCATATAAGACATTATTATGTACGAGAAGAGTGACTGTGTAAAAGTGAGCTAATGCCTACATTTCGCTCGGAGTGACTTTGAATATAGGCTGTTTATATTGCGGCAGAACGGAATGGAAGCGAATTTTTGTAACGATATTGTACATAGCATAATAAACTTTATGGTTAATTGTGTAACGTACAAACTAGACACGAGCCAAAATCTTCGGTGGAATTCTAGCGCATTCGCGAGAATCCGAAAATCGATATCATGGATCAATAACTCAAGAGGACTAAACCTAGACTTTGCTTCAAATTATTATTTTAGTTTCCCCCACAGGTTGTAAACATAACTTGAAAAATGTAAAGTGTTTATCACAGTATTCTTGTAGTATATTGCAATAACTTTTATTGTTTGATATCACAAGAAATTAGGCTTTGATAAATTGCTGTTTGTCAATGTATGACAAATTAGTTACAAAAATCTTCGATCCGGACACGTTACATTAAACAAATTTTTGTATTTGATGCGGAGGGTGAACTCACCGAATTGCGAAATATGTGAGATTCCTGAGGATGTATGTACATCATTTGCTCAAGGAGTGTGTTCGGGTGGAGCCTATCAGGGTGCGGTTATTTGCATAGGCTGATTTCCGTATATTTAACGTTGGGTGGTTTCAATCTGTTTTGTCAGTACCAACATGTAGCGCCGTGGAGATTTTGTATACATGTTTGGTTAGATAGGATTTTGATTTTTCTGTCTGGATATCTTGAGGTATTTTTTTCTAACGAGGCTGCCATGTTCAGTAACGATCAAAGTCCCTAAATAAATAAAGAGTAAAAAATGCTATTCGGTACACGTGGCGACATCTGGTACTAAATAAATAATATAATAAATTAGGTACCAAATACCTGACCAAATGTCTTCAAAATGTCCGTTTCTAACCAGTCAAGGTTCAACCTCCAAATATTTTCCTTATTAATGGGTATTGATTTATTAATATATTTATATAGAAACTACACAAGTTTATTTATAATTTACGTATATTTACAACTCCTTATAAATAAAAAAAGTTCAAAATGTTGTTTACAAAACTTTTGGATATTTACAGGAAGGTATTTTTATTCAGCTAGTTCAAACATAAGACTACTATGATTCTCTGGAAGTCTTCAACAAAGATGAATTCAAAACGCAGAATATACTTTTGGTTACAGCGGAATAACTTAGTTCTTCGTTGTTCATTGTATTCCCTGCATCATTGTTTTACGTACGTATTAGATTGCTATTACGAAGTTGCATTGTTACATAATATGTTTATCTCAAATTCATTGCTCAGGCTTATTACCAGATCAGCTGCTAATAAGCTTGTGTTTGATAAAGATATAAAAGCTGTTCTGTTGTGAAGTACAGCCATGACAATTTTCATTTCAAAATGTTTGATAAGAGTTCCCAGCAGTTCATATTAAACCAGCTAGATGGCGCCTGGTCCATAGAAATGGAAGCAACATGTTTTTCCATAACAAAAGTACCAGGCAATGGACTCCCGGTGTCATAAGTAATATTTTCAATGGATTAAGTTGATATTTGTAAGGCAAACAAATACAATTTACAATCTGTTGCTGTTTTTTTGGAAAAATGATAGTGCTTTACGCACCTCTACGACGTGACCAAAACGAAAGAAAAGTATTTGTTTGTGACAATAGTTGTGTAGTAAAATTTCGATTACATTCCAAATTTTTCAATAACATGATATTTTAAGTCATAATCCAGTCTAAGTTATATGTTTGTTTGGGATATTACTGTAGTATTTACAAGTCTTCTGTACTCCATTTGTAAGCCTCCTCTTCTTGTGCCTTTCTTTTGCTCTGTTGTTCGAAGAATTTGCGTTCATAGCCATTAGAACGATCGACGCCGTCCCAACGGTAACCTGGACGAATGTTGAAGCGGTTGGGTGGAAAGTTGCCTTTGTATGTTGGTTTTTCTGTAAAGCAAAATAGCACGGACATTCAATCTATTGTAAGTTTCAAAAATAGGTATTTAGGTGCTTTACATAAAACTACTTTATTTTTTATGTATATTTTGACGAACTCCATGGTCGAGTAGCTTGCACACCGCTATTCATGGTTTCGCCATCTATGTACTAAACTAACCCTACTAACTAACTAAATATTGTTTCTGGTCTAGGTGTTTGTGGTACTGTCTTTACTTCCGATTTCCATAACACAAGTGCTTTAGTTACTTCTTTTGGGATCAGAACAACGTAGGTATATGTGATGTTGTCTAATATTTAATTTTTGGATGTGGAACCCCTGAATAAGGAATTCCGACAGTAGTAAGCATTTTCTGTGATTGTTAATAAAATTGATTGTTTTACAATAAAAGATTTCAATATAGTTATTTTCGAAAAACATAACAACTTTTAAGGGTTAAAAAACAAATGAATAGGGAAAAAAAAATTTAAAAGTTTCCAGGCAAAAATTAGTTTCAAAAAAGTTGATAAATTATTTCGACTTCATTTGGTTCATAACATTTATATTTCAGTGTCTTTTTAATTATTTTACAATTAGGAAATTATTTTACCTGGCGGCAACTCTCCTCTCTCTCGCTTCTTGTCCCTAATATACTTAAGCATAGGATCTCCATCTCTTTCGATGTCCTTCAAACGGTTTTCCAGATCCCTGTCGTCTCTATGTCGCGCGAGCGGTTTCGCTGACTCGTGGATGAAATCTTGCATACGAGACTCTTCATCTTGTAGCTGTTTTAACCTGAAACGGAAGCATAACATACTGTACACTACAAGTCTTCATCACGATGTTTTCATTTAGTGTGAGGTCCTTGAACCGACTCACACAGGTTGATGTAGAAACAACATGGTGAAATGGGGCTATAACAACCAGACTCAATAAACACTGTACTTGCGGATCTCCCATACAGATGTCACACTTGCTGTTATGCCCACTGTACAGGCGATAACCTAATAGCAACCGATAGGAGCATAGCGGTGGCTGCTTACTGGGCCAAAAAACAATTTTTTTGTCATTGACTCGATAACAAAAAGAAGACAGAAAACGAGTAAATTAGGACCCTGAGCATATTTAAAGCTCTTCTAGGGAAATGTGAAGAATTGCATAATGTCTTTATTTTTCTGTACAATTCCATTGCATTTTTAAAATACCTTGGCATCACAACTTCATAAAGAAAAGTCTGCAATATTAGGTATGGTGTAACGAACTGATGTTCGCAACTCTACGTCCAGGTATTTTGCGTGTTACCTAATCAGGTATCAGGCCACCAATCATCTAGAACCGATTGGTTTGTCTTTTGACGTTGACATTTTATTTATTTACATACTAGAGAAATAGTACTTCCATAGTTAATACCCTTTCGGTGCAATTGGTCTACTTTCCCGATCGGTCCACTTTCACTATTCGTCTACTTTCCCGTTCCGTCCACATTTTTTCCCGATTCGTCTATTTCCCATTACGTCCACTTTCCTGTTTGGTATACTTTCCCATTTCGTCTACTTTCCTGCTTGGTCTACTTTACCGTTTGGTCTACTTTCCCATTTGGTCAACTTACCCGATCTGTCTACTTTAATGATTCACAAATAACCGGAGTTATCGCGTAACATATATACAAAAAAAATACAGTCGAATTGAGTACCTCCTCCTTTTTTGAAGTCGGTTAAAAACTAACTGTCTACTTGATTTTGATTTTTCAAATCATGATTAACGTAAAGCGGCCATCATTATTAAAAAATATTAAAATATGTACTCCATGACAATCTGCAATTACGCAATTACAATCTGCCTTTGAAAGTTTGTAAAACAAGTTTATTTTGTGAAATTTTATTGATTTACGTGCTTAAAAGGTGTCCACCTTTTTGGACAAGTGGACGGATCGGAAAAGTAGACCGATCTGGAAAGTAGACGAAATGGGAAATGGACGAATCGGGAAAAACAAGTGGACCGATCGGGAAAGTAGACCGATTGTACTGAAGGGGTTAATACTATGCGAGTGTCCAAAAGGAACTGCTCTGATTTTTTCTGATATCAAAATTAAGGAATCCCCTATAACACCCTATCCTATAACACCTTCTGAGGGCATAGAACATAGTTCCCCATGGACTAGTATGGGACTCCACAAACTCCTTTGACGTGCTAGTTTCAAAATAATCTACTGTTTCACCATTAAACGAAGTTATAATTGCAAATTAAATTGGATCGGAGAATTGGTGAACACAAACGGATTAAGAATGTTTATAACTTATTGATTTATATAATTTTTTTACTTATACATCAACGTTTGTCTATACATACCCTTTACTCCATTTTTTGTACTTTTCGTCTAACTCCTTCTGTCTTTCTGCTTTGTCCTTTTGTTTATTCCGTTCTTCTGAAGTTTCTCTTTTACCTGAAATAATTTATTAGAAGACTAGGTTAGGTTTTATCAATTAAAATTATCAGCTTCTATTTGTGTTTCAAAGCAATAAATATACAAATATACCTTTTCTAGAAACAACTTTTGCATTCCTTCCAGAAACTTCATCACCCATTTTTCTAAATGCCTCATCCTCTCTTCTTCTGAAAGCTTCATTTTCTTCCCTAAGTTGCTTCGCATCTTGCAGTCCTGCTACTTTGCCTTCCAATGTTCGCGCCATTCTCTTGTTTGACGGCGGAGGACTGTCACTAGTCCTTCCATATCTTTGATCTGCCTTTCTGGGCGGAGAAACATCAGAACCGCTATCTTTCCTTTTTCTAGCTGGTGATCGTTTTGCTTTTCTTGGTGACGGCGAACGCCTCTTCGATTTGTTCTTTCTTGGTGGCGACAAATCTGAATCAGGAGATTTCCTTTTTTGTGAACTCTCACCGTGTTTGTACTTGTTACTTAAATCATCAATTTTACGTTTATGATTATATATTTCATTATGTCTTTCAGGTGATATTCTCTTTCTTGGTGGTGAAAGATCAGAGTCTGATGATTTATTTAGTTTCCTTGATGATTCTTTTCGTGATTTCTTCGAAGGAGATACATCAGAATCTCTTTTTGGTCTCTTTGAAGGTGATTTGTCAGAGTCTCTCTTTATTTTCCTTGGTGGAGATGAAACAGAATTTCTTCTCACTTTTCTAGGTGGTGATTTGAAAGAATCTTTTCTCAATTTGTCTACATCTTTCCTTGATTTTCTTGGTGGGGATAAGTCAGAATCTCTCCTTGATTTCCTAGATGGAGATACAGATTCCCATCTTGATTTTCGAAGAGGTGACATGTCAGAATCCTTTCTAGTTTTTCTAGGAGGAGAAACATCAGAACCATGTTTCCTTCTTTTAGGGGAAAATTCAAAATTAGAGGTTTTTGATTTCTTTGGTGATTCAGGCGACTTTTTTCTTGACCTCTCCTGACTTGTATCCTTCTCAGCATCGCCCCATCTACTTGGTTTCTTAACTCTTTGTTTTGATTTGTGACTATCATGTTTTCTTGGAGGTGATAGATCAGAATCGTCATCATCTCTATTGGATTTCATAGGTGGTTCTTTTCTTCTAGGTGGGCTAAAATCACTGTCACTGTTATTTTCAGGTTTTTTAGACGACTTTTTGTCTTTCGCCTTAATGTTAGTCTCTTTCCTTGGAGGAGACGGATCTGAATCATTTTTCGTTTCACGTTCATCCTCCGAGTCGCTATACATTTTGCCAAATATAAGTTCATTTTCGTTTTCTACCTCCTTCACATCCTTTTTGATTTCTTGTATTTTGAGTTTACTATTGAATCCATCGTCCTGTAAACACAAAATGTGGAAGGTTTAATTTTTTAGCTAGCCAAGTTTATTTCAGTTTATGTTTATTATTTGAAATCTCTTCATAAAGGCTCGAACTGTAGGTTAAAACTACCTATATGTCCAGTGTTATTAAATTCTTTGACAGAAAACCAACATAAGCTTTTAAAGAAAAATACCTTTGAGACAAACCTTTGCTGATCATCTTTTAGTAGAACTTTTGTTCTAAGTGTTATAATTTTTAGTGTTAAATTATCATGAAGAAGCCAATGTAGTGAATCAAATAATAATAAAATATCTCTAGGTGATCAGCAAACGACGTTTGCTAAACATACCTCATTAATAACTCTCCACTTTGAAGTGGTGTTAAATTGCTCCATTTTCCTGACATCCTCTGGCCTTTCATCTATGATGCCAGCGATCTGTGGTGCGTCCTCACCCTCACCCAAAATGTCCAGCTCGTCACCTTCCAGGGGACGTAGCTTGGAGAGATCTATATCATCATCTATTATTCTGAACCTGAAAATTAGAAAAAAATAATCTAAATGATTATTACTAATTACAGGTTTCTTACTATAACTCACAGTAGTCACTGTGTCCAATGAGCATAACAGCTCTGAAATATGGCGAGACCAATGTCACACTGTGTAAAAAACGTAATTGATGCATTTACAAAATATCCACAAATTGTAAAGTCTATAAAACAAAACCAGATAAAAAATGAAGAAGAGTGTCGTTAAGAAAGCCCTAGGTCAAAGGAGTATACTAAGACTGTAGCAAGTCGACAGTGTTACAATGTCAGAATCATAGCAAGTCAAAGTCTGTAGCCTTCAAAGAGGTTGAACCCAACAATATATTGTTGCTGGAAAGGTAAAATGTCAAATGTGCATTTGGACAATAGTACAGGAGAGTGATCGATTTAAAGTATTTTTTTTGAGAAATAAAGAATCATACTCTAATTTTATTTGTTACATGAAAAAGCTGAAACTTTCTAGTTTTCCATAAATGATTCATATATTATGATTTTTCTTCCTTAAAAGAAATACTTTAAATCACTCTCCAGTAATATATTCCAAATGCATGTTAGACATTTTACTATTCCAGTGTCCTTTCCTGTTTACTCTACAATTATATTGTCTTTAATTCTTATTATAAAATAGCAATAAAAACAAAACTTTTAATGACTTAAATTCGATTCCCTTCAGGACCAATTTATGAAATTAACTTTTCTAACTCAATTCCAGTCTGAGTGCTTTAGGTAGTGCCCCGAATTCAATTCCATTGCTCTGGTCATCATTATACAGGGAATTCCTTGGTTTAAGGACAGCTAATTAGTGTAATTGTCTGGCACACTATTTATCTTATTTTATGTTCTATATACAGTACTACCCCGCTTTGCGCGGTTTCGTTATAACGCGATTTTCAAAATTCGTGCTAAATATCCCCGCTTTACGCGGATGCATTGATTTAGCCGATTTTCTTGATAGGTCGTTTAATTTGTGGTCACTTTGGTACTGTCAGTCCAGTGAATTGTAAAAAATAATGTTTACAAACAATGATGCCACCGGCTAAGAAAGAAGAGCGTAAGAGCTTGAGTTTGAAGACCAAGATAAAAGTTTTAGAAAAGATGGGTTCATTCAAATAGCACGTTTGTTAAAATATTTAGCTTTGTAATGTTAGCGACCAAAAAACTATAACCTATAAAAAAAAAACTATAAAACTTGTTTTACGCGAATTTCGCTTAACGCGATTTTGTCCATGACGCATCCCTCGCATAAATTAAAATTTTATAATCCCACACACTAATTTAAAAAAACTTAAATCACACATAAGTTAAATTTATTTAAAGTATAACCTCAAAAATTAAGCAACAAGTCATATTGGGCAACAGTCTGTAGTTTACAAATCATGAACCCAATTTTTAGGACTAACCAACATAGTAGGAAATACAGATTTTGGAAAAAATTTGCTGCTTTTCAAGAATGGTGGCCCAAACAAAATAGTTAATTTTCATTTAAATTTAGAATATGGTAAATTTTAATGATTTTCATGGCTGGTTTTAATACCAAGCTTTTAATGGTCCAAAATAATTATATACTAACATTGGGCCCATATACATGGAAATGTGTGACATAGGCTTTGCTGCTCCTTGTGAATAAGTTCATCCAGAGACGTACAGCGACCTTACCTATTTCTGCCACCAAACAGTAATGTGAGCATTACTGCATTTTAAACAGTGAGGGTGTTGGTGAAAGAACAGACACAAACTTGTCAGGGTGACAGCATGCTGGGTATTGTCCTTCAGATCTTGCGATTGTGCGGTTTAAAGCTCTTAAATCGCAGGCGCACAACTTGTTTGTCCCTTTACTTAATAACACAAAATAAAAAAAAATAAAAATAATGCATTTCAGTTTTATTTTACATATTCCTGATTGAATTATTATTATTATTTAATTAATACACCAGCAGCTCTACGATCTGATGCATGTATATCACTGCACTTGTACATTGTTAGTTTTCAAAATGTTTATCAAGTCTAGCTTTGAAACTTTTTTATTTATTTGATAATACACGAGCAGCTTTCGCTGTTATGTCTACATCACACAGTGTGGAAATTTATATCGTTTGTTTTAGTTAACTTTTTTAGCACAAGTTCACTCTTTCGTAGCCAGTTGTCGAGCTTGTTTTTGAAGGCATTAACAGAGTGTTACAATTATGCACCACTCTGTTGCTGAAACAATAGTGTGCAGCAGAAGTTTTGGAAGGAGCACAAACTAGTTGGAGACTTGTAGGTTTTTATAACATTAAGTGAGGTGACGATGCCTGATGGTATGCTACACGTCTGCACATAACAGTTGCTGTGCCACTCAAGAGCTTTAAGTCACAAAGATCTGAGGGGCACTGCCACTATGCCATCACCCTAAGACATGTCTCATGTGCCTGTAATTTCACCAGCACTATTCACTGTTGGAGCACCAATTACTGTCTCTAGGAGCGAATTCCACAAGTTCATAACGCGAAGTGGCAAGAAGTTGAGGCTTGGTTCACTTCAGTGACCTCTCAATTAGCAATTACTTGTTTTTAAGATACGTCGCTGTACTAGAAAGGCATCAAATACGTCACTTGCACACTAATGCACGTAGCTTACAATTTTGACTAATACGTTATTATTTACATCACAGCATGGCTTGAACTCCATGTAAGCATTTTTATTTGTGAGATACGGGTCACAATTAATAGTTCTGAATGTAAAATTGAAATATTAATAGTGTTAAAAAACTTTATTAAAGCATTAAAATTTACCACATAGAATTACGAAAAAACGCGAGGGAAATATTACTGACCCTTTGCCTTTATTTATTTTCTTCTTCTTCTTTTTCTTGTCACCGGTAGGTCCGGTAAGATATTTCTGTAAATACGCCTTCTGATCTATCGATGTAGACATTTTTAATTAATTAATTATCTTTAAAATATTAGCAAAAA